GAAATTTGTTTTCTTAAACAGTATATTTAAGCCACACTTATTTTTTTTTTATTGCAATTCTCTTTTAATCAGTCTCCGACTTTTCGTAAAACAAGTGGGGTAATGTAGTTTACCTAAGACTTGATTAATTAACAATTACTTTATTTCATTAAAGATTCTATACTATTCTATGTGAATATCTTTTCCAATTCAATAGTAGAGTCGCTCTTATACTGGCAACTTACATTGGCAAATTTAATACACAAATTAAGTGGCAAGCAATCAATGCTTGACCACTTCATCTGAAAATCTATTGATTCATTTATTGACTTAAAATCAACTCAGCAAAACATCTAGCACACGGTTGAATGGACAATTGTTCGTTCTGCGGAATCTGCCTCTGAAACTGAAAAGCCTTCCATCGCACTGCCATCATTTCTGTCTCCATTCGGTCGATGACCCCTCCCTTCACGTATACGAAGTCGTGCTTTGTGGTGCAAAAAATCGGGGTGTCGTTGTTAAATTCAAGATCTTTAGAAAAATGTGATTTTGGAGCTGGCAGGTGCACCGTCTGGCCCTCGAACATCAATAGTAAATCGTGCCACTGGATAATCTGTGAATTCCATCGGAAGTCGTTCAAGAAAATTACTTCTGCCTTTTCTGCACCGACCCAGGCGAAAGTGGATGTGGCGGGATTATTAAAAGACTTGTAAATAGTGTTTAAAGGATTAAGTAGAAATGTCTTGCCTGTATTGGCAGGGCCCTTGATTAAAATGTTGCGGAATTTTCCCCTCCCCTGTTCTAGGAGATTTCTCACAGCTTCGGTAAAAACCGCAATTGGCACTTGGTTCCACGCAAGTAGCTGTTGAGCGCATACCACCCCCCGGCCGTCACACTCAGTGGTGCAAGGATCTTGCAGACATTTTTCCAAGATCTGAAGTCTTGTTAGTTTACTTCTTTGTAGCAGCTCATTCGCTTTCTCCATCTCCCAGGCTGTTGAAATACATTCCTCGACAACTCTGTTTCCCCTGTTCATGACGAACTCTGCTAGATCGGTCTTACCCTCAGCCTTCTGGGCGCTCGCTAGTGCGAGTAGCTCAGTTCGGTTTTGGATTTTCTTTTCAAGTATTATGTTTGACACTTCATAACAACTTAATGGTTTCGATTGCTTTCGCTTCACTGATGTCTTACTGACGTTTTTCCCCTTCATCCGAGAGCGGCCATCTTCTTGTTCTCTTTCTTCGCCCCCTTCGCCTTCCCCGCCACTTGTGCCGGTATCTGTTGCTGAATCACGAAGTTCTGCGATCGGCTGTCGTCGTTTTACTCGCGCCTGACTTGCGGCCATTGTTCTAGGTGGACCTGAGTTGCCCAAGTCTGGATGGCCAGCAGACTGGATGAAATCTTCATCTTCTTTGGTGGTGTACAACCATGCAGAATAGTAGTTGGCGTGCCGGTTAGAAAAGTGAAAGTAAACACTCCACTTGTTCTTTAAATATTGCCAGATCGGTAGCCACCTCTTAATTTTGTTTAGTTTAATGACCATGTGATAATGCTTCCCCTGCCTTTTATGGTTTTCCTGGCAACAAGTCCACTGAATTAATTTAGTTTTGGGTCCCTCGCAATTCAAAACGGCCTCACAAACGGCATCTGCGAACGA